GCTGAAGCCACTGGTCGGTCATGGAATGGAAAGGGAATTGATAGAATCTTTTGGGGTTCCTATTAAAAAATGTACATTCATAGACTTGAGCTCCAAGAATTGAAATTCAGTAGGGCCCAAGAAGCTGCTGACCCCTCCCCGCCCTCTTTTTAGTAAACTTTATTTTGGAATTATTTCAGGTTTACAGAAAAGTTACAAAGATAATCCAGTTCTTACATACTCCTTTCCCACTTGGCCCTAATGCTAACACATCGTCGTAGTACGCTGTCAAAATGAAGAAACCAACACTGGCACATTACTGTTAACTCCAGACTTCATTTGGATCTCACCAGATTTTCCACTAATGCTCTTTGTCTGTTCTAGGATCCGATCCAGGATTCCACACTGCATTTAGAGAAGCTTCATTTTTCATAGGCCCTTTCAGCGGATGCGAGGTAGGTGGTCAGGGGACCGTATCTCGAGAAATAATAGGACAAGTGAAAGGACCGATCAAGGTCAAATTGCCCCATCCTCATGTTGGGAAGATGCGGTTTTGAAGCAGAAGGGGATACATTGGTGGAGGGGTAGATATAGAAGGCTGGTATTAAAAAGTTGGAATGGAATTCCCTCCATGAGATGAGAGGGCTACCTAAGAAGTGAGGCGTCTGTTCCTAATGCTGGATGAAATGAGTCTTGGAGCTGGAAGGTGGGGATGCTACTGAGACTGAGATCCACCTTTGGTTGTGGGCAGATCAGAGGAGTGAATAAGGGCACAGTATATAGCGAACAGCTGCTTTGCGGAAACCAGGGGCTCTCTCAAGTAGGTGACTATACTGGATTACAAGGGCCGGGTTAGCCCGGAGCCGCATAAATCCTGTATTTCCTGGAACCCTGTAGAAATGCTTTGGAAATGGGTCATAGTAGTAACTAACATCAAGCATTGCCACTGGATACTAGCAGAGGGCAGATGATCTTATTGAGGGAGGACCCTAATCAGAGGTGGGAGGGGGACACGCTGAAGATCTGCTTTTGAGACTGTTCCAAAGTGAGGAGATAATGGGGCTCCCATCTGGGCTAGAAGGTTTGTAGAATTGAGAGTGGTAAGATGAAGGAATAGATGTTTTGAGAAAAAGCTGCTGGTGGGCGCACCTGGGTGGCTCTGTCAGTTAAACATCCAACTCTTGATTTTGGCTCAGGTCATGATCTCAGGGTGCCAAGATCAAGCCCCGCCTTGGGCTCTGGGCTGGGCGTGGAGCCTGTTTAAGATTCTCTCCCCACCTCTAAAAAGACCACCCAAAAACAAGCAGCTAGCAGAATAATTCGAGGCCTTGAAGTGGATGCCATTGATATCTTCTTGAGGACCTTGGGTTCTAAGGCAATCACTGAATTTCTCTAATCCATTCAGATTTAGTTCCTTTCCTAGCAGTTATAATCATTAAAACCTTACTCCTCCTTAAAAGAATGTTAACCTTTTCTCATTTGTTGTTAGATTCCTCTTCATTTCTATATTATTTCATTCTTAATTCTTTCTGCACCCTAGAGATCCCCAACCACAAACTGGTATTCTTAAAATTTGTATCAAATTAATTACAAGTTCTTAAAAGTAGTGAAAAATTGCCTCTGAAACCAAGCTGCTTGCACGTGTGATCTGCGGGAATTGGCTTTGCTGAAGGTCTCTTAGATCATTTGCTCTCTTGCATTTCACATGTGAGTAGAGAGAAGTCTTGGTGATGAAAGATTTTGGCTAACTTGTACGCTGCAGCTCAGCTTATCCAAAAACATTGTATAATGCCGATATAGAGTGAATGGTTCTCCCATAAATACTGGCTTCAGCATTCTTTTAAGGGAATTTTTTTAAGGGAATTCAGGGAATAGGGTATTTATACATATAGGAAAAATAAACCAAGCAATGAACACTGAACTCTTATAAAACCAAGATTCAGTGGTGTTGGATTTCAATAATATACAGGCATACATGGGGTACGTTAAGAGTAAATGTCAATGTCAAGAAGAAGGTTGAGATGGAATCTTAGCACGGAGAAAGTTTCTCTTTAACCAGAAGCATTAGGCCTTACGAATGTCTTAGCAGAGCTATGTGGAACTGCTTATGAACAGCCATTTTTGACCTACAAAAATGGCAATTTCATTTGGGTCAGACATACATTTCAGACATTTTTTCCTTGTAAATACTTAAAAACTCAGCTCACAATAGATCAGTTAAAAGTTTCACCGAAGTTAGTATTCCAATAAGGAAAAAAACTAAAACCGAAGATAAACGAGTTGAGGTATTTTTTTATAGTCTTATTTAGGGAACAAACTCTTCCTAGGTATAAAGCCCTGAGAAAACTGCCATAGTTACTACCCTACTTGACTCAATTTCCCATTTACCAAGATGGCTGTACTGTCTTCTAGAATTAAAGCCAAAAGGGAAAGAACAACTTGTGATTCTGCCTATCCTGGCAACTTGTTCTCGAAGCTAGTCCTGTCCAGCCTCCCACCCACGATCTTTGTTGCTTCTGACCGCTCATGCCAGCAGTTCTCCTTAGTAGCTGGCATGGTAAAGGGTACAGTCTTAAGTGATTTGTGACAGATTGCCTTTCTATGTGAAATCAGATTATTTAACCTCATCAGCAGTTTATCAAGAACAAAGTGCTCAGCTGAAGATTTGACCTTAGGTAGTGAATTAAGGTGGATGAAAATACAGCAAGACTCTCGGGGTTTACAGAGCCTCGCTTAACCTGGGTGGCTAGGGTCTTCAACCTTATGAAGATCTGCCGTATTTCTCACTGAAATGTAACTTTGAAAAGAGTATTTCAAAGTCCAAATATGTGGGTTGGCAACCACAAATCAAGTCCTATTTTCTTTCCTATGTTTTAACTGCTTAGAATCCTCATATAACTCACATTGTTTATGCACTATTTCTTGTAATTCCTTCTCTCTGGTATAGTCTACCTAATTTAACCTTCCAGTCTTGGCACAATAATGAGCTGCAATGCCTCTGAGTACTGTGGCCAGTGATTTTAAGTGTCCTAACTGATCTTCAGGTTGAAAAGAGCAGAAGCCAAAGAAACACAGGACAACACTTAACTAGAGGCAAGGGTCAGATCAAATCATGCTCAGTTTGAAATTGCTTTAAGACCCCACTCACCATTAGAGTGGACGGAAAAGCACTGAAGTTAGGCAGAGATGTAATGCTATGTAAACTGAAAGGTTACAAACACACTAGCCGTATTTTAATTAAAATAGAGTTTATTAGCTTTTAATATAAACATGAGGAAGAAAAACCACGTAAGTTGTAGCATTCTTTTCAAAATAAAACTGCAATCAATACTTGAATCTCCAAGCTCCGAACTCCATAAACAATGTTTTTTGAGGTGGTAGATTGTAATATTTTATATACTGTTATCATTTGTGTGTCCTTTAAAAATGATGGAACCTGCAGCACTCAATATAATAATGAAGACTTGCTATATGGAGAAAGTATTCCTGGCCCAGAAATGCTATGTCTACAGGCAAAATTCCTAGGATTACATTTGAGAAGGTAGGAGAAGATTTCACATAGTTAAGAACACCTTTTTTTTTTTTTTTTTTAACATTTCAAGTTTAAGTGACATCATTACCAATCTCCTAAAAGATTGATTACTTAACTCCCTGCCCTTTAAAGCCTGAGGTGAGGGGTCCTCTTAAACAGCAGGACTCGAAATGAGCCCCCCTCCAGCCAGGTTACCAGGTAGGCTAGAGGAGCTGTTCCAGATCACCTACTTTCAGATGACTACTATTAGAGTCCAGTTCCTTTTGGTTTGTTACATGTGAATTATCACTGCTCTTCATACTCTTTACAAATGTAGGAAAAAGAAATTCTGGTGACCAAAGCAGGTAAGCAGCACAGCCCTGCAAAGAACGATTTTAAAAAGGGGAGGGCACATCTGTGAAAATACAAGGCACCCCTCCAGTCTTAGTGCAATTTTAAGCTTTGATACCTGTGGAAGGATGAATGCTACACAGTGATAAAACACCATTTGAAAGTTTAATTATTTCTTGTACACTTACCCAGTTTTGTAAATTTTAAATAACTAAGCTTTTCATTTTAATTTTTTTGTTTTAGCCAATGTGTGCCATCTTCAAGAGGGGCTGAAACAAAAATACTAAAATGAAAAGCTTCATATACTAAGCTTTTCATTTTAATTTTTTTGTTTCAGCCAATATGTGCCATCTTCAAGAGGGGCTGAAACAAAAATACTAAAATGAAAAGCTTCATATTTAAAATTTACAAAAGTAGGTACGTTTACAAGAAACAACTAAACTTTTAAATGGTGTTTTATCAGTGTGTAGCATTTATCCTTCAGCTGTGCCCCAGAGGGCCCAAGCACACTAGGTTAAAGCTTAAAGCTGCACTAAGGTTTTCAGGACACCTTTTCACTACCTGCTTGTTACCACTGGATCACCATGTTGGTTGGCATTGTGAAAATATCTTTTAATACAGGTATTTAATAAAGAGGAAAATCATCAGAAAATGAGAAGCACCGTTATTATAGTTCACAAGAAAATGCATTATAGTTCACAAGAAATGCAGCGTGGACCCAATAGAAGTAGATAATCATCGATAACATACTTTCTCTGTTTATGACCCTACACATACTAATATGCTAATAAGCAGTGCTTGCAAAGAATTTGAGTGACAAGTGTTATCCAGCAGCTTTTTGGTTTAAACTGATTGCCAATAATGACTAGCAGCTTCGGTGATAAAGCAGGAAGAACCCTTCAATACCTAACACAATGCTACAGTCTGTTCCTAAGTGGCTTTATGAGTTGTTAGAGGAGTCCCATGTTTTCATGGTTGGTAATACTGCATTGATGCTAAAGAAATATGCAGCAATATGGGGGGAAGGGGCAAGAAAAATAGGAAAAACATAAAAGTTATATAGTTAGTGTCTTTAAAGTTTAAAAATTCAAGCTGTTAAAAAAAAACCTCACTTAGTTCACAGCTATCAGCCTACATAGTAAGCCGATATCCGTGTGTGGGTTGGAGCTTTTGCTTTGGAGTGGTTTTTGTAACTCTGTTTACATTAAAAAGGACAAAAGTGTGTGTTGCATTAACAAGGTCCCATTCTTTCCTGTGACCATAATCCTTGCGGTCCATGAGTTTCTTGAATTCGAGGTCTTTCTTTTAGATGAAAATACTAACTTTGCTGGTTTGTGAGCAGGAGAGTTGGTATTTCTCCAGTCCCTGGAGATTGAGGGGTTCATGATGTTACAACCCCTCCCTTCTCCCTTAAGAGAGGATGGCATTAGAGCGCTGAATACCAATGAAGTTATCAGCGCTGAAAGACCTTCTCATAGCAGCTCTACACAAGTCTTTGTATTTGTCTTCACACAATCTGGAAATGGCCTGGGAAAGTCAATCAAAGAGAACACAAGAACAAATTTTAAAAAAGCGTTCCAACCTTGGGCAAAAACAAAAAAACAAAAACCAAAAAGCCTCACTGATAAGTCACACAGCCATACTCGTATCTTCACATAGTTCACAGTCACTGCTCCTAGGGATTGTGGAGGTCTACATTCCCAGATTCTGGGGATGCCACTTTCTGACAGTTCACTAAGGTAATATCCTTAAAAGGCTGTAATTAGATCACTGGGCAAGGAAGAGTGTGCTTATTTACAAACTGGGTTCCAAAGATGTCAAAGGTATTTGGGTAGGCTCCTACCAGCAATATCACCCGTTCCCTGTCCACCTGTTCGTCAACACAGTGAACATCAACCTGGGCAAAAACCAGTGTTTCTCAGCCATTCAGCTTCTAGTCTTCATTGGTTATTATGTCCTCTAAGCAGATTCTAACAGGGCAGGCATGTCTGGACCTTATTGGAAGGTCACAAGTCTAATGACCGAAGCACTAAAAAGTGCTCTTTCACTTGCACATTAACCGTGGTAGAAAATACCTGACTGCGAACTACACCAAGATACTACAAGAAGTGTCCATTTTAAGTGTCTCGAAATTTCAGTTGTGAATACTTTTGCTGTAAACTCACTATAAGTCATAAACCATAATTCCTTTGTCTCCTGTCCTTTACCATTTTCATTAAAAACCCACAGGCTCTCTATGGCAGTAATTGAAACACAGATACAGTCTAAGTCTCAGGGGAGCCACAGATGCTTTGTCTAATGAACTCATGGGACTTAACTGTGGCATCTGTAAAAAACACTGGCATGAATTTGCAAGCTGAGTAAAAGACTGTTAAGGACAGTGAGTAGAGGGGCACCTGGGTGGCTCAGTCAATTAAGCATCTGCTTTTGGACTCAGGTCATGATCAGAGTCCTGGGATGGAGCCCCCATGTCAAATTTCCTGCTCAGTGGGGAGTCTGCTTCTCCCTCTCCTTCTGCCACCCCCCTTCCTCATGCTTGCTCTGTGTCTGTCTCTCCCCCAATAAATAAAGAAAACCTTAAAAAAATGGCGAGTATGTAGATATGATTGGGGATACAACCATAAGAAATTATGTACATAGATATGATTAAGGATACAATTGTAAGAAATTATATATATATATCTATCTATCTATATATATATAATTGTATGATTATATGGAAGGATAAAGTTCAAATGGAAAACCATTAACATGTAAAATTTGAAAAAAGGTTAAATTTGACTGAAATATTCTGAATTATGGTCCCAGAGGAAATATCTACATACCTTTTAAAAATAATGTGAGATTCTTACATAAATAAGACACAGGAAATATGCCACCAAAGGGTTAATAAACTCTTCGATTTGTTAATTGCAATCTTTCCATTTTGCTAATCACTGCTTAATGAGCTTTAGCCACAGATGCTGGTTTTAGTGGCCAAAAGAAAGCCCCAACTAACGATTTCACAGCCTTACCTCTAGGTTTTGTGCTCTTTCTTTGCTAAGAGGAGCAAATAGAAAATTCAAGTTGTTGTCATCTGCTAAGGAGCGAAGGTCAAAGTAGTATTTGGCATAAACACTGGCGGGAACATTAATATTAAACTGAAGTAGCTCCAAAAAATGCCTTTCCATCTCATTCCTGGGGGAGGAGACAACAAAACCAACACAAGACAATTTTAGTCAACTGGGCTATCTTCAAAAATCTCCTCCTGAGCTACGGGGAGGGCTCTGAATTCTGTTTTGGAACAAACCGAGGCTCGCAGTGGGTTAGTACACTAGCGTTCAAACAAGGTGCGGCTATTTGTGGTCCCTTCTGCATCCCAGCACTTGGAGCCTGGGACAAGGGGGAAGAGGTTACGGCCCTCTTAGGCACTCCTGCTGCTGACCCAGGGGCTCATTCTTCAGAGTTCCATTAGTGCAGCTGTACGATTCATGCTCCACGCTCGCTCCCAAGGCCCTGCTATAGTGATCAGATGAAAGGAATGATGTATGCTGTTTATTAGCTCTGAAGAACTTGCAGACATTTTCACCCGGCCGGTAACAGGAAGGGGCTTATTGAAGTAGAGACGCGCCAACAAAAGGAGTGGGCACGTCACCACGGCAACAAATGGATCCATCGAGAGTCACTGCTATTATCTCTGAGGGGGAAAAACTCTTGAAGCAACAAGGATTCATCTCAAATAAATAAATAAATAAGCTACGTTGCATGGAAAAAGGAATCCCCTCCCCCTGCCCCAGTGCATAGGGCTATGTCAAAGGGCACACATAAATGCACGTCTCCGTCCACCTTCATTTTACTACAGCAAGAAACTGTCACTCTGATAGGACAGGATGCACTTTTTTAAACTCTGGAGGGCAGAACGATCAAAGATATGTCTTGGCTTGACTAAACTCACCAAGATGTGACCTCTGGTAGAACACTGGACTCAAACAGCCTTTCTCTCATGTTGGGAATGCAACCCCAAGATGGGGCGCCGCCCTCTTGCCAGAACAGAATGAGCACACCCGCAGGGGGCGAGTTCAATAAAACAGGAAGGGAAAATGCTGGGAGCAGTCCTTGTCTCCACACGACCATTCGGGCTCACTTGCTCGATATTAAATAAATACCAAATTGATCACTTTCACCGTCATCCTTTCGAGAATTCCATAAACACGCTAAGTACCCAAACAAACATGAGCAGCTTACTTTATAACGTATTTGGTTTCTCGGTTTTAAAGTTTTAGTATTTTATCTGTTGGATAGGTCAACAAATGATGTTCTCCTGTATGGTAGGGAAAGCATTCAGAATATGAGCAGAGATGAAGTTCTCATTTGTTGAATTTTAAACCCAATTGAACCTACTTCCAAATTTAATTTCCTGTTCATATGGCTGTAAGTCTATAGAAATGTAAATCAGATAATGTTTTGATAATCAGCTAATCAGGACTTAAATTACTACAGGAATAAATGCACTTCACTATCCCTTTTATATTTTCTCCGCTAATACATTTTAATTGTGTGGAAATACAGTACTTCATAGGATTAACATGTCTATTAATAAAGGTTTAATCACTGGAGAGAAGCATTATGCCTATAGAATACGCATCTTCTGGGTTTTTTGTTTTTTAAATAGCCAAATGGCTGAAAGCACACCATTTACAGGCACAGCAGATCTTCTGAATAGCAGCTGCTCAATTTAACTTATTCTTTTGAAGGGGAATATATTCTAAAGCATAGATGTTGGAAAGTTTGAAGAAAAAGCTGACAGACACCAATTCTTCAATTTAGACTCAAAATGAAACTACTACAAATCGAAGTCAACAGCAGGGGGACAAAACAAATGTGTATTAAACACTCTGTTGTAATGCTTTCCAATTTCCAAAGATCATAAACAAAAGCAGCCTATTATTATCAGCATAGCTCCTAGTGCTTCTCTGTTTACACACAAAAAGTATTGCTTGGAACTGGTCTTCCCGTAGCCAGACACTGCCATCACCGCTCCTGGAAACTCATTCTCACAAGCTCACACTTCCCAGCCTATTCTGAGGTTTTCACTAGAATCAGCCCCAGCCAGCTTCGTTGAAGGTTTTGAGAAAATTTCAGGTGCCACCATGGTAGGGCTAGTGTCTGTGATTACAAATTTTTTTTCCTTCAAGGCACCAGAGTTTGCAGACTGATGACAGTGGTGATCAAAGTCACTTTAGTTTCTAAAACTTCCAAAAGTACTTTTATTTATTTCAAGTCCATTATTTGCCATTACACCATTTGCTACCATGTTGCTGCAAGCAACATCTCCATGCCCACTCAGTTTCCACTATTATCAAAAGCCATTTGGACAACCACCAACAATCACTGGGCTCTTCTAGTCACAAGTATCCTCATTTCAGTTGTAAATATGCACTTCGGTAATTCTGAATGACAATCTTACCTAGAGTAACGGGCAAAGGTAACAAAAACAAACTTGCCACTGCCTGCCATGATCTTAATCTTCCTACGCTGTTGTGTATAATCAAGACGTGTTCTTCCACATTTTCCCAAATGCCACCCACAAAGACATTTTCACTCTCACATGGGCACTCTGCACCCTCAGGGCCCTTCCCGGAAGCCAGGGTGGCCAGATCAAAAGCCCTTGTTAAGTCTGGTGTTTCACGCCACCAGCAAGGAGCCCCCTCATGGTGGATGGAAGGCCCCACAAAGCGCTGCTGTGGTTGCTGAGTGCCTCGGGAGACTCTCGAATACGACGGGCACTGGTGATGTCCCAGTGCTGCTTTTCAGGACTGCCTGAGAAACAGGAGCTTGCTAACTCCTCAGACCTATTTTTAAACAGGTGCAATACTCCTAGTATGGGAGGAAGCAGGAACACTGGGATCTGAAACCTTCATACGCGTGGCTACTTTTGTACCACGGCTTCTGTAACAACAGAACTTCAGATAAGGAGAGAATGACTGGCAACAGCTGACTCAGATTGAAGGTATAACCTCTCAATGGTCTAGAGGACCTAAGACCTTAACAGTGGCCAAAACATTTTAAAGGTCGGCCATAGGCCTCTTTAAAATCGACTCGAACTGTAGACAGCTTTAAGAAAGCCATGAAGATATTTATAATACTGTGTTGAGTGTAAGCCAGTAAAATGTATGCCAAAACCCAGCACAAATATATACTTCAGGGCCGCCTGGGTGGTTCAGTGGGTTAAGCCTCTGCCTTTGGCTTGGGTCGTGATCTCAGGGTCCTGGGATCGAGCCCCGCATCGGGCTCTCTGCTCAGCAGGGAGCCTACTTCCCCCTCTCTTTCTGCCTGCCTCTCTGCCTGCCTGTGATCTGTCAAATAAATAAAATATTTAACAACAACAAAAAAGGAATATATATACATCAATTTACCAAGTAGATTATTAAAACAACACATCAAGACCTACCAATCAATGATGGGAAATATGAATTGTTATATTGTAGCTAGATAGGAAGTCTAATTTTATGCCTATTTCAGTTCTTTGCACAATGTAACCTTTAAAAATATTTCTTAAAATATACATTTTACCAGAGCAATGGAGGTACTGGAAAATGGTTAGAAAGTTCACCAAAACCTTATAAACTCACATGTCCTCAACTGTAATGTCCTTGAGGATCTGGCAGTAGTCCACATTCCATACAGCCTGATCGTCCCAAACCTTGGAGGCAAGAAGAATGGCTCCCAAAACAATTCTTTTCCAGTTAGTGGGACAAATGTCGATCTCAGCATAAGTTAAAAGCCTTTCTAAGTAAACCTGCAAAAGTAGAGCACTGGTCTTTGATTTTAGTTCAGTTTAAAGTGCTGTGATAAGAACTGTTAGGAATGACAGATTTCATCTGTTTTTGACATGCCTTTTATTCCTACAAAGGTCTACAGCGACTTGGCCCCGCCAGCCAAAGCCAGAGGCCAGGTCACAGTTGCAGGTCAGATACTTCTGTTGCCTACTCTGCCCACGTGAATTTCCAGCCTTTGTCACAGGAATGAATGGACATCTCAGCAAAGGGCATCTTGAAGGCAGGCATTGGGTTATTAACCTTCCCATTCATAAAGGGAACGGATTCAATACAACTGATTGCAGATTCGAGTTGTTCAATAAGCCCTTGAGTGCCTACCCTGTGCAAGGTACCACAGCTGGCTGGTCATTACATGGTCATTTTACATAATACTTGAATATGTAAAACCCTGGATAATACAAAGCACATTTTTGCCTTCCCCTTTTCAAAGTAGTCCTTTTGTGGCGCAAGCCTGAGGACAGAAACTGGTGGGCAAGAGAGCCACCCAGTGGCTGCTGCGTGGTGCAGCAGGACGGCAAGTACAAGCAGGTGTGCTGTCAAGTAGTCCCCCTCATAGTTAAGTGTCTTTTAAAGGAACATACATTCATACAAAGGATAGTCCTTCTCCTATCCCCTCATTTTCACATCTCCATTATCATCATTTCATGATAATTCGTTTGTTACCTGCAGCTTAGTCAATTCTGCTGGTTTTAAAGTGCCAACAGAGCCCCAGGTTCTGTACCCTGGGACTCCTCTAAGCCCGCTGTGAGGGGACTCCCAGACGGATCTCCCTTACAGTATCAAATGTCTGCTCCACCAGCCCTGGCCAGAGTCAACAGCTGAGTAAAGACTACAGAGGTAAGCGATAATTTGTTGTTACTTCAAAGAGTTCTCTGCAGAAGAGTATATATGCCATTTGACAAGAAAAGTCCAATTTTAGAGTGTGTTTATTGTCTGAAGGCTGTCTGATTGCCAGCTCAGATTTGCCAATATTTTCCAAACTCAACTGTTTTTAAAAACAAAAGGTTCTTGAACATTTTATGTCCTTAGTGAAATTCTGCTCCCATTCTCCCAAATGCAGCTCTCTCAGGTGTCCTAAGAATGAACAAGTTGAACCTATAAGGTTCAACTCTACTTTATGGGAATAATTAGAGGCACTTATACAACACTGACAATCTCTCAACTTCCTATCTACCCTCTTTACTGGGAAACTTGTGAATTCGCCCCGCCTCACTGATACCACTAGCTCTCCTGTGTCTGTGGGAATAAGATTTTCTTTTTCGCACTTAAGTAACTCTTGGATGATCCCATCCCACTTGTGCAAAACTGTACACAATTTCTTTTTGAAGAATTTTCTTCCCTCTCTACCAGAGATTTCCCCCAATACGAACAGATTTACACTGCCCACTGCCCCCATCCTCCCACCCCACTTCCTCTCATTCTGCTCACACAAAATGCCTCATGCTGGCTTCTCACCTCCCATCAGCTTCCTCACCTGTGAGAGTCTGCCCTCTGCAGCTGTCACTCGTGAGGTCCTCTGTGCCTTCAGCCCAACTTTGCACTCCCCAAGCCTTTCCTAGTAACCTAAAGGGCAATACCACTGGCCTTGTTGCTGGGGCCTCCATTTGACTTAATCCTGTTCCAATCCGCCAGCAGTTTTCATTATTTCTATCTTCACTGGTGATTTGACCGATTTCTATTTGTCACTTCTCGGCTATATCACCGTCACTGCCTCCTTAACTCTCCGCCTCCACGCTGACTCCCGCTACAGTCCACTGTCCCCAAAGCAGCAAGGACAGCCTCTTCAATGAAGAGCACTTCATACTCCTGCTCAAGACCTACCAGAGCTTTCCATCAAACCATGACAGTTTCCCTTCTTCCCGGTCTGCTAGCTACAAGGCCCCAGAAGATACCGCATTGCCTTGCTGTGACCTCATCTCACATGTTGTTCCCCTCATTCTTCCTCTGACACTGGCCACCTCACTGTTCCTTAAATACACAAAACGTGCTCCCGTCTCAAGAGTCTCGCATCTGGCCCCTCTGCCTGTAATGCCAGAGTTCATCATCTTCCTCATGGTTCAGGTGCTACCTCTTTCAAGAGGCTCCTCCTGATCATGCTATCTACAATGGTGAGCCCCTCCGATCACTTTACCCCTTCACGCTGCTTTCTCTTCCTGGTATTTACCACTACCTGAAACATTTAGGTAACACTCTTTTGAAAAAGCAAATGAAAAAACAACTTATTTCTTCCTTGCTGGAATATAAGCTAGACAAAGGCAAGAACTGTATTCCATCTGTTTTCTCCTCTGTTCCCAACGCTTAGTGACACAGACTTGGTATTCAGTGGGTACGCGATGGGCAACTGGTTGGCAGCATTTGGTCTTCTGACCACACTCTCTTTGAAACTCTCCGATCTTGGCATTTCTTATTATTCCCTCCCTGGGTCCTACCACTCTCGAGCCACTCTTCTGAGGATGTGTCCCTTAAATGCTAGTAGTCTTTACAGATCTAGCTTCTATCTACTTTTTATTCTCTACTTTTCTCTGCATTTGAACAGCTACTACTCTTCATTCCCTACGCCTAGCTCGGATTCATGCTCTGTTTCATATATTCAACTGATGACTAGACACTGTCACTCTGCTGTCTCACGGGCATGTCACGTTTAACCTGTCTACAAAGAACTCCCTAACTTCAACCCAGATGCTCTCCTTCTGGCATCGTCTTGCTACCCATGTGGGAGGACCACCCTGCCTCTCTCCAGCCTGGATTAACCACTCTGAATGGTCTGTAGAGCAAAGAAATGGCCCGAGTGCCCACTGAGGGGTCTCTACTCAAAAACAGAAGCCTCCTCTCCTGAATTCTAACTGGATACTAAAGGAATACAGGCACTGACCTAAGTATTCTTTCCCTCCAGATAGTTAACTTTCCCCTATAGGTCTGCTGTACGGAGGAGTGAAAATAACCCCAGCTGTCTCTCACTTAAATAGAATTTATTTTTCAAATGATAAAATCTTACCACAGGAATTCTGTATGGATAACACAAAGGTCCTTACAGAAGTACTTCCAGCGCTATAATCCTGGGCAACTTCGCAGGCAGGCTCAAAAGGACACCAGGGATGGATGAACACCCGTCACCCAAGGAACCGAGAATTGAGGGCAACAGTTCTCAATCAAGACACACACGAGGACTGTGTGGGGAATACCGAAATAACCTGGGCCTCGGCTTAGATCTACACCAAACGAGTCTCTGCCTGTGGACCAGACGGTTCTGTTACTGCCTGTGGTCCCCCAGCACACCACCTGAGTGTGCACATGTGTGCACTGAGTGTACATCTGTGTACTGAGAGGTGTGGAAGGAGAAACCAGAAATCTCTCCTGCTGCCTTTAAACAGCCATTCTTCTGTGATGAGAAAAGCAACAGCAATGTTTTGAAAAATAATGATACTAAGTTTGAATGTGTGTATTTTACTTTCAATAAGTTTCTTTTAATAAACTTCTGATGATCATTTCAGGAACCTATTTTTATGTGAAAAGCAGGACCACACCCTGTGCCATAAGATTGAAATTGAAGAACGAGGATGTAAGTAAGAAGAGCTATCTTACCAAAGTTACTATTGCACACTCGGCTGTTAGCTGTGCAGCACTGAAAAGAGTACGAACAAATCTGTAAATAAATTTGTGTTCAGGATCATGCTTAAAGTATTCCTCTGGAACCTTTTCTCTCTGAAAGAAGGAAAAAAATGCAGTTTAAGCATCCACAGAGGAAAAGTACTTCAATGCCCATAATACTGCAGTCTTTACATTTGGGCCCATGCTCCCAAAATGATTTTGATTGGGTGACATGTCTTTTAGTGGTTTAGATAGAAACAATGGGATCTTAAAATACTATAGTGATTCAATACGTACCATCACATTCGTTAAAGAAAAATACAGGCATGACCTCAGAAAACGTATATATATATTCCTTTCTATCTATATGTAAAACTATTTTTAGGCTCAAGAGTCTGGTTGATCACACGTTATAATTCTCTGAAATCAGCTGTGAAAAAACAATTTTGGGCTGCCCAAATGGCTCAGTCAGTTAAGCATCCAACTCTTGGTTTCAGTCAGGTCATGACCTCAGGGTGGGGAGACTGAGCCCTTCATGGGGTTCTATACTCAGCAGGGACTCTGCGGGAGATTCTCGCTCTCTCTTTCCCCCTGCTTGCCTCTCTGCACGTAAAGGCATGTGCACTCTCTCTCTGATAAAATCATCTTTAAAAAAATGAAAGAAAAACAGTTTGTTCCCTGTAACCATAAGACTTTTAAGTGTGACCTATGTAATAGTCACCAGCCACACATGGTGAGAGCACCTGAGGGAGTAAACGGTCATTAACTAAGGACGTTAAAATTGTTATTTTAGGGAATGCGTGAGTAGCTCAGTTGGTTGGGCGTCTGCCTTTGACTCAGGTCATGATCCCAAGGTCCTGGGATTGAGTCCCACGTCGCGCTACTTGCTCAGCGAAGAGCCTGCTTATCCCTCTGCCGACAGCTCCCCCTGCTTGTGTGCTTTCTCTGTCAAATAAATAAAACCTTAAAAAATTTAAAAAAGTTTTTTTTTTTTAAAGATTTTATTTGACAGGGATCACAAGTAGGCAGAGAGGCAGGCAGAGAGAGAGGAGGAAGCAGGCTCCCCACTGAGCAGAGAGCCCAATGCAGGGCTTGATCCCAGAACTCTGAGATCATGACCTGAGCTGAAGGCAGAGGCTTTAACCCACTGAGCCACCCACACTCCCTGTTATTTTAAAGGATTTAACATTTAAATCATTTTCTAATTTTCTTCAGAGAGATCACAACATATTTGTTAGGCTTATTTGCAAATACTTATACTGTTTGCAGTTACTGAAAATTATCTTTTAAAAAGATACATTTTCTGTTGTCTGGGTACATTTACTCACTTTAGCTAATTCTACAAAGCCGCAGCTCAGTTCTTGCTCTCGTATATCCCTAATACATCATTCCTTTGGTAAAATGATTAGACACAACATGGGGTAGGGAAGAAGACTTAAGATGATTTTGACTTCAAGGGCACCTGGGTGGCTCAGTGGGTTAAGCCTCTGCCTTTGGCTCATGTCATGATCTCAGGGTCCTGGGATCGAGCCCCGCATAGGTTCTCTGCTCAGCAGGAAGCCTGCTTCCCACCCCCTACCCCACCTGCCTCTCTGCCTACTTGTGATCTCTATCTGTCAAATAAATAAATAAAACCTTTAAAAAAAAAAAAAAGATGATTTGACTTTAAGCTGGAGGGAGTAATTTTCTCCTGGTAATTAATTTCAAATCAAATCAGTATGAAATAAATGCAACTGCATGAGAGGAAAATACAACTTCAATAAAACTGACACTTACTGTGAGTGGATGTGATCTCTCATCAAAAATATCCAAGGATCTATTTGCATCTCTATAAAATAAGAACATGCGTTTTAAAAATTAATATAGGAATTAATATCTTTGTAAAGCACCTGCTGGAATTAGAGAGGGGAGTGGAAGAAGCTTAACCTTCAACAAAAGCAAACAATTTTACAAATTCTTTTGCATTCTGGCCTTCAGAGGGTTTCCAGACCTCTATGAAATCTCTTCTACCACGACCAGCTAAGCCAGAGGTGCCTTTCAGAACACTGACTTTCCCTCACAGGCAATGCTAATAAACCAAATATATTTTCACTCCTCTAACTGCACACTGGAATACATAAGAACATTTTATAAACCAGTAGTGGTGGGCAAAAAGTCTTTAGAATTTAATAAATGTGAATATGAAATCCATGTTTTTTCCCTGTTTTTTTTTTTTTTTCTCTCTGTAGCTCTCTATGTTATATATTACCATGTATTTCTTCTAGTCGCTCTTAAATAGTTTGGTGGAATTAAAAATGTAATTTTTTCTTAAATTTTAAGAGAGACCAGTCTTTTCATATAAAAGGTCACTCCAGTAATACACTGCCCATTTAGACAGTGGTTCTCCAGGTGTGCAGCTCCCCTTTTCAGAGGCTCATGAAGTCAAAACTGTTTTTATAGGAATACTAAAGACTTTACTTGCTCATATACCTTTGACATTTGCAGTGATTGTAGACAAAATAAAAGGGAATAAAACTGCTTGTTTTTGCACATAAACCAAGGTAGTGGTACCCAGCCGTACCAGTCCTCCCTGCCACTTGCAGTTGAAAAAAATTGTTCTACTTAAGAACATCCTTGATAAACCAGTAAGATTTAACAGTGTTATTAAACCTTGATCCTTCTAATATTCTGAAAAATTAGAAAATCTTTATGAAACACTTCTGCATGCTGCAAGACAGTTAAGGAAAGAAAAGAACCTGTGACTTCGTTGTGAACTGAACAAGCCACTTTTTTCAGAGCTCTTTTTTTTTTAAGATTTTATTTATTTATTTGACATGGCAAGAGAGAGAACTTAAGCAGGAGGAGTGGGGGAGGGAGAAGCAGGCTTCTCTCAGAGCAGGGAGCCTGATGAGGGACTCTATCCCAGGACCCTGAGATCATGACCTGAGCTGAAGGCAGAGGCTTAATGACCGAGTCACCCAGGTGCCCCATTTTAAGGTACTACTTAAAAATGAACAAAGTGAGAGGCGCCTGGCTGGCTCTATCAGTAGAGCACGGAACTCTTGATCTCAGGGCTTTGAGTTCAAGCCTCATGTTGGATACAAAGTTTACTTAAAATTAAATCTAAAAATTAAAAAAAAAAATGAACAAAGTGGGGCAACTGAGTGGCTCAATCAGTTAAGTCAAGTCATGATGAGGGTCCTGGGCTCGAGCCCTGCATTGGGCTCCCCGCTCGGCAGAAGCTCCGTCGCCTCCTCCTCCTGCCCCTGCGCTCCTGCTCGCTCTCTCTCAAATAAATAAATAAAATCTTAAAAAAAAGGAAATGAACAAAGTGAGCCTGAAACGTCAAGAAAAATAAAGTATTTGTTGCCAGTGATAAAATTCAGGCTATCAAGCTAAAAAAAAAACCAAAACAGATTTTGGGAAAACTTATGCCTTTTACTATGAGCTTCGTCTACTGTAAGCTTGATAGCTTCTCAATACTTAAAGGCTTTTCTGATAAGACAGGTGGTGATACTAACAGAAGTGAGTTTTTGACACTGTATAAAGAAATGTGTACTAGTACTTTCCAGCTGACCAATGCATAATATTCTAAAACTACATACAGGTAAAAGATCCATTCAGTGTGCAAGATATTAACAGAGTATAAGTTCACTGATACGATTTAAAATTCCATTATATATATATTTCCATTATAACCTAAGAAACTGGCACTTGTGGACTTTTAGTAAAGTATCATAGCATATCCACAATATCTGAAGGTTTTAAAAGTGCAACTTTTCCCAACTCTGTATCTAAACAAGGCTGGGTCTTCATATTGTTTCTTCATAACAAACCACGGAAGACAGGATATGAGAATGAGCTGTCTTCTATTAAGCCAGAAAGTAAAGAGATTTGTAAAACTGTAAATTGATGACATACTTTTCACTCAACTTTGTTGTTGTGGAAAAGTTACTTTTTAATAAAAAAAAAAGAAAAATGATTTATGTTAACACTGGGGTTCCCAATCCGGGGTGACGTTGTTCCCCAGGGGACATCTGGCCATGTCTGGAGACACAATGTGGAGGGAGAGAGATGTGCTACCGGCATCTGGTGAGTAGAGGCCAGGCAGACTGCTAAACATCCTATCACGCACAGGACAACCCTCCACAACAAAGAATTATCTCACTCAAAACTTCAACAGTGCCATAAAAACCCTGTTTTGATACACAGTGTATTTAATTTTTAAATTCTCAAATTTTATATCTAATACAGTAAATATTAATATAACCCACAGGAACAAATACTCCTTGGGTCTTCAATAGTGTAATAAAAGCACGCTACAAGTTTATTCTAATAATATTTATACTCGTTACTTAACACTAAACTTGATATCTTGCAAATTAAGGAGCTGGAATAACAAGACAGGTTTTAAAAGAGCTCACCTGTTCTTTATGTGGTAATATATTGCTAAGGTCACACTGTGGAAGGAAAAAGAAAATTGTGACAATTGATTTTATCACGTTAGGCATTAAGGCATTTTTTAAAAAGGGGTTGGGAGGGAGACAGGATCCTTCCAGGGGCCCAGGGGCCCTGAAATCCTCTAATTCAGAACAGTTCATATGGGCACGTTCCCCCTTGTTTTAGTCCTTGGGCTTTTGGCAAAAAGGAGGACCAACTGTTAGAAAACCTGTTTTGGTCCATAATTATAATATATAAATTATTACACATTTTCCCTGTCATTTGACCCTCTACCCATAGAATATTTCCTCCTCCTATACAAGTTCTGTTTGTACACATGCTTAAATTTAAACCATAATTTTTGTATTAAAAAAAAAGTTAGACCCTACATTTTGATTGATTTAGTTTTCTATCCACCAAACCCACCCACTTTTCATTGTTTCCCTAAAAGTTGATAATTAAAGTGTTCCATACCAAATAAAATAATTTAAAATCATAATTAGAAAATTTAATAGCAAATATAAGTACTGACAAAATCAACAATAGGTCTAGTTACCCCGAAATAAGCAGTACTAACAACGCAGCATAATACTATAAAATAAAATATTTAATGACAGGTATTCCTCCAAATTAAATATTAATGAACAGATAGATAGAAGTCCTCAGACACTCTTTAAGTTACTATATTCCTAAGTTATTCACAGATGTTTCATACAGGCAACAAAGGGGTTCTCTTAGTTAAGTTATATGCTTCCCTTTGCCCTCAAAATGTCTAAAATGAAGCTCAAAACAATTGAGGGAAGGCAAATCTGAATTTTAGAATTAGGTCTGTAGAATACGAGCACTTGTAAAAAGGCCTAACATGCTATTAGGATCAAAGATGGATACTTCTATAGTGCTTCAAACAGTTTCATCTTCAATTTGATTTTAAAATCACAGAATTCAAAGTTCTATGCTGAAAAGGACCATGAAGCCTTAGCATTTAATTAAACAACCCATCTAACACACAAGGAACCAAGGCTTAAAACTGACTTGCCCAAGGTCCCACAGTTGGGTCAGAAGCCGTTCTCATTCTCCCACACTCTAACCAGGCAGTGGTTCTCTCCAATCTTGGCTGCACACTGGATTGCCTGAGGAGCTTTTAAAAACTGCTTGGCTTCCACCTCCAGATGGTCTAATTTTACTGACACTGGGTATGACTTGGGCATTAGATTGGCTTTTAAAGTTCCCCAGGTGACTGCAACGTGCAACAAAATCTGGGAATGAATGAATCCTTCGGGATGCTTTCATTCATACAATTATGCCTCGTATCCTTCCTCAGCCTATCAAAAGGCTTGTGAGAGTGTGGTAGGGGAGGGGGAAATGCATGTATTTTGAAACAGATTTTTGAAAAAAGTTGCACAAGTGATTCTAATATGGCTCCCCCCACTGAGAACAATGCACTACCCCAATGTAAACATTTTTCAAAATCATTCCTAAAAACCAATTTGCCCTATTATTTTCTCAGTAAACATTTATTTCATCAATAAATGCACTGAATTATTTTTAAAACTTAATGAAAGCAAATTAAATTTACTGTACTTCTACAAATTAGGCCAAGTAGGGAAAAACAAGCATGAAACCTACTTGTCTGAGCAAGGTTAATCTTTAAAACCACTTTTGAATTATGTACTAAAATATTAGACTGGGGACTCTAGCCAAAGTAGAGTTTTGTTTTGTTTTTTACACATGGATTTAGTGTCTTGGCTGAATAAAAACATTTAGTGATTACTTGTTAGGTGCCAAAACTCAGGACTTTAGACTTTTGGCACTCAGTTTTTGCTGAAATACAAATTTGATCTCTGCTGTTATAAGAGTGAAAGAAAAGTTACATTATAATGACTATTATCTTGCTGTTTATAATTAAAGTAGAAGTTACCGATAGTTTAATTATGTGCTGACAAAGCTGGCACATAAGAAACAAAATTAAGTTTATAAGCCAGTTGTTTTTAAGACTGAAAAATAAAATTCAAGAGGAGAATATTAATATTTTGAAGTAGTGTTCTAAACTGTGTTCTGGAAAATCAACCCTCATGTCCCAAAGAGATGTTAATAATGTTCTTTGGCCAATTTTGATGAAGTCAGGAAGCTCTGCATATCCAGTTTTGGGCTTATCCTCTCCCTTAAATAAGCTTGAAAGGTTCATCTTGGGGTGTTCTAAAAGTGCAACCCTAATTGTGGATTATAAGGTGCTCCTGGAAATTAAGGAATAGTTTCCATCATCATAACACTGTTCATGTTTGTTGAGGTATAAACCTGACCACAGCTATGTTTCCAAGACCATCTCTTTCATTGTTCTCTGCTGCTGTTTTCTTATATATGGACTGATATAATGTCCTAGAGATATATTTCTATATTGATACACATATATAAAGTTAAAATTAAGTATATTTATTAAATTATAATTTTCAGTTGAGGAAAAATTTCATCCATAAAGAAATTAAGCTTGAGAGTTTGCTCAAGATTGACTTGGTATATTTTCCCCCTCTTTGGGAATAGGAAGGAGAAGTTAATTTTCTTACAGCAGTAGTGCAGAGGGAGGAAAAAAAATGAATCATGGAAAATCTGACAAAAATTCAATTAAATTTAAATGCAGATACACTCTGGTGCCAGTAGGGGACAAACTGTTCCTTCTTTCAAGAGTAGCTTCCAAAGTAGTATACATTGTTTGAGGCCTGTAACTCATAAAGAAATACTTCTAGAAACATCCAATAAAGAGTGCCTCTCCATCTCCTCATTATGTTTAACAATGTCTTAACAACAGAAATGTATTAAGTAAGAGGTATACTTTTCCTGGGATTTTTTTATTTGCTAACTGGCTTTCTCTTTACCACGCACTCTAAGATTAAAATGGAAACTGATATTCAGACTGAGGTCCTGGAAAGCAATATAAAATAGACACCAGTTTCTTAACCTGTTACTGAAAAGGACAATCAAATGACTTAAATCAGATCAAGTATGGCTAGGATGCTTTTAGCATGAGGGGGGCGTCTGTCACTCAGCCCTTGGCAACCTAGTTGTACTCACCATTTTATTGTGGTTCTAAGATTAGGTTGGCTGACTGTGCTGTCATCTAGAAATATTGTTGAGCATGAGCTATACTTTTTAGTAAGCTGCCCTGGAGATACCTGAAGGGGAAGGGAAATAGAAGAAAATGTCACAGTAAGTTAAACCTATAAAAGTGTGTTTTTTTCCTCGGTTAAAATGTCAAACGATAAAGCATTAAGATTTTTCTTATACTTCATGAACTGCTTGAGTGTGCTATCCTGTGCAGCTCTATGGGAAACACAGTGGATGCTCTAACTTCCCAGATGGGATTTAAGGAATGGGTTATAAACTACAGCCCTTGATAAATTACCTATTATCAAACCTGGCAACCACGTATTATAAATTCCCTGTACATTAACGTAAGAAGCTTAGAATAAGATTTCAGTGTTTTTTTTTTTCTAAGCTATGAAAAGCAGCTGAGACTTTCTATTTTTACTATTCATTTACTACAATGAAATGTAATGCTTTATATAATATTGATGCAAGAACATTTTATTGCAGAAAATGAAAACCAATAATAAATGTATCAGTTCAGGAGACAGTGTGATGAAACAAATGTTCTTGAGTCAGAGGCTGTCTGTGCCAGGGTTGCTCTATCATTAATAAGCTAAGGGGGCCATAGGTGTGTCTGGGCCTCAGGTTCCTTATCTGGAGGGCAAGAGAGTACTGCATTAATATTCTCTCACATCCAAAAAAACAGATAAAACAGCTTATGAGAACTTCACTTTAACTTCATGTTTAAATAAGACTGCCATCATATTACTTAAGTGAGAACCTCAGAGGACTTTCCATTCATTTAAAAACTTTATTAATTCTATTCTGTAAGTTACTTGATATTCATCACAACAATTTCCTGCCTCCCTCATGCTGCTTTCTATGCCTACAATGCCTTTTTCTTTCTCCTTGTCCCAGAAAGCTTGACCCTAACTACCTCCAGGATACCTTGCCAGCAGTCACACCACAAAAACTTCTTTTTCTGTATGCTCACACATCTAATCTGCCACTTGTTACATACTACCAATTGCTTGAGGGTGTCCCCTCCCCTCCTAAAAAAAGTAAGCTTCTCCAGAGAAGGGAGGACTCTTATTCCTCCCACCTCTAGCTACTGAACACAGAATCTGGGACTAATTAGTAGGAGTTCAATTAACTGACAAATTATTTAAAATCAGCTACAACTGGAAGGTAAATCTTACTACAAATTAATGAGAATTTATCTGCAATAGTGTCAGAGAGGTGACAATGAACTTTTGGAGACCCTCCATAGAATTAACCATCTTTAAAACACTTTAGAAGTATCCATTTATCTGTGAAGAGCCTGAGCCCAAGTGTATAGCAACAGTCAAATACTGAAATAGCCTAAACTATGTTAGGACAATTCTCTTCCTTAAAGTAAGACCAATAAACAAATCCCAGTCACTGTAAGTAGTTAAAAATAATAGCAGCATTCGATACCAAAGAATGCCAACAATTTAAATCTTGGTTTGTTGTGTGTTTTTTTTTTTTTTTTTTTTACTAATTCAGATGAGCCTTCCTTCCTCTTATCAATATAAAATAGCATTCGCCATGTCGTCACACTATCCTGTCAGCATCCCTCTCAAATACACAAATGGGGCAGGGGAAAAAAAAAAAATCTAGTTTACTTTTTAAAATACAGAGCATTTAAAAGCTGCCAGTAGCCAATAATCAGAAATATCCACATGGTATATAAAAACACCACTTTGCCTGTTTCAGATGTTTTCCTACAAAGTCATTTACCTCTTACTAACAAAAAGTTCTGGACCTTCTGTTTTTGAAAAGTATCACTAAATTCTGCTTCAAGCCAGAAATGTTTAACTATATGTAACACTGTTATGTTCTTTAAAGCTATTCAGTTAATACGTATTTTAAGAATCTCAATAAATACAGCATGTAAAATGAAAATGAATTCATTTAAATACTTCTACTCTAAATGGAAGAAAGTTCTCTTTTAAGGCCACTACTAGTAGGGTATACTATGGTGTATATTACATAATAATCAAAGTCAATGCTGACCAAAACCTATACTGAGGAGCCATAAAAAGAATAGAAAGAAAATGCACCAAAATATAGATCAGTTGGTAAAGCTTTGGGTTATATTTGCTCCCACTTTCCTCATTAATTTTTTTTCTAGTATGAATATATTTTGGCTTGCCTCTGAAAATATTAGTGTGAAACATTTCAAAATTTTAATTAGATGTAGTCTTACAGCCATATGGGGGGTTAGTGAATCAGCAACTTACAGTGTACTGGCTAGATCCAACCAAAGATACACTGAACACTTCCCCATCAGTTCAGGCCTACTTTTCAGTATTCAGTAAGACCTAGTATTCAACTAGAGGGTGGCAGAATTAAGCCTCTGAACAATGCCTGGATATACCAAGCTATAATTATTTATTAGCTTAAAATTAGCCAAGATTTAAAGACAATTGTCTTTTATGGTTAAAGGCTTACCATCACTGGCTTATAGCCTCAATAAACAACACTGACAAACATAGGGTCATAAAAAGCAAATACTTAAAAAAAAAACAATCAAACAGCAAAAAACAGCAGTATTGGCAGTTTAGTGTTCATAGATATTTCAGTTGGTTACTAGAATAGACAGAGACAAAGGCAGTGTTTATTTTCACTCATAGAGCACTAACGGAATAGGTGGACTTTTATAATCTTTACAACAAAGGTTATTTCACAGACTTAGGATTCAGTGGCAAAGACTAAAAAATAATCATACTTAGAAGTCTAGGAAATCACAATCCAAGCCTTACCATCAAAGGCCAAGTATCTGTTGAAATGCAGGCCCCAGCCACTGACCTGCCCATTGTGCCTACTGCTAAAGCTCACTTGTGGGTCTCTCAAAGTTGTCTTTTTCACAAGACAACTTAAAAATGTCCAACACTATGCATTAATGAAAACTGCTTTATCTATGTTGTGCATTAATGGAACAATATGACAGGGTGTGTGGTCTGAATTCTTAATCAAGGCATTAGGAGAAAAGTGTAATATGCTAATTATGGGGATAACTGGAAAATACTGCCTGAATTAATATCATTAATTATACTGAATTAAAACTTTAAACTTAAATATATGCTTTCAAAACACGTTCTAAGTTTGAGTTAAAAACATGGTGGACTGATCATAAATCTACTTCCTCTCCCTCTCCTTTCAGAGGATATATACAACACAGGATAAATAGCAGGTGCTTTTTAATGTTTGAAAGGTGAAAAGACCAAAGGAGTGGCAACTGACACGGTAGAACAGAAAAGCACAGAGACTGGAACAGCAACAAGAAAGCCAGTTTGTCTTACAGAACCCAAGGCAGGCTCAGAATTCAGACTCAGCCCCCAGACGCCCACGGTGAGGCCCATCCGTGAACAAGTCCTGCTCACTCATAGTACTTCCAGTGAGATCACAGACACAGGCAGGGACCACTCCACATTTGACAGAAGCCTCTGACAAGTAAGAGAGATCAGAATGGGAAAAGAAATTGATGGGAATGATAAAATTAAGAAGCAAATGAAAACTTCAAAAATTCTTAAAAACCCTAAGATGAGAAATCGCACTCATGAAAGAACCAGATGCTATAAATAACGAGAGACTCTAAGAGAACTCTATAAATTAAAAATAAGATAGATAAAACTCAGTATTCAATAGAAGGAGAAGGGTTAGAGCATAAAGTCAAGGAAGTCCCCAGGAAGTAGACAAAAAGACAAAATGGAAAATAGAAGGGAAAAAAATTAGAGATCTGTGCGGGAATACTGGTTCAAGAGGTCCAACATCTGAATCACAGACACACACACACACACACACACACACACACACACAAAGACACTCATTAGAAAGAGAGATGGTCTACAGACCTACTTGCCCCAACAAAATGAAAAGGTCCATATCAAACCATATTATGAAATTTCAGAATCTCAGGGATAGAGAAGGTACTAGAAGGTTTCAGAGAAAGAAGGGATGGGGGAACAATGACTAAAATTGGTAATGTACAATGTATCATACAATGTCAACAGATTTATGAGCAACACTTTAAATGAGAAGACAATAAAGAAATGTCTATAGAACTGCAAAAATTAACTTCAACCTAGAATACCATACTTTATCAAACAGCAGGAGTTTCAGAGAAGCTAGATCTCTAAAAACTTCTGCCTATTCCCAGAAAAATGTGCTCCAGTAAAACAAGGGCCTGTAACAAGACAAAGGGAAACAGAGAATCTAGGACATAGGGGATCCAACACAGCACAGCAGTTATGTGAGATCCCAGATGACTTCAAGGAGATACCCCAGGAAAAGAGACACAGAGCCAACCTAGTGAAAACCAGTCTACTCTACTGGAACAGAACAAAAGCCAGTCTCCAAGAAAAAAACAGAACAGATGTGTTTTAGTAAACGAAAAATATTTCTGATGGACATGTGACAACTGTTACAACATCTGGGGGGGAATTAGCTATTAGAAAATCAGCAAGTGAATACCGTCAGGAAATTAATTCCACACAAAAAAGGAAGAATGTGAAAGCAGAAAGACCCACCAGGGAGCTACTTACGGCATCTGGCTGTGTGAGATCATGTTGGCTAGGAAAATGGGGACTGGATTATCCAGGAGAAGGGCAGAAGTGCTCAGGTTTCAGAAATATCGAAGACAGAGAATGAGGTGTATGCAGGAGAAGGCACAGGCAGAGAACTACATGGCTCAGCAGGGAACAATATTTGCACAGTAGTAACAACATACACATTGATTCTGATAAAAACCATGATACAGGTTGAGGGACTAGAGGCAGGGCAAAAAGGCCACGGTGAAGTGATGAAGCTAAGCTTTCATCTGGCACATCAGGAAATTGATAGTGCTAAACATTAACTTAGTTATTACATTTTTGTTACTTTGGTTAAAAAATAAGATTAAAAAATGAAGGCAGAACTTTATACCATAACCATGTTATTGAAATTTAAGTTAAACGTCAGAACCCTTAAAAAATGGGCACTACTAAGCCACAGACTTTCTAGAATACATTTGTTAACGAGGAAAATAGAAGGGATTTCGGAAAATCTCTTATAGGGCTAACAGTATGAGATCCATTATATTTTGGGGGAATAATGACATACATAATTTTAATTCAAACTATTAATTTCTTACTTAACTTTTCGACTGTTTACTTACATGGTTTAAATGGTTGCTCTTCCTCTTTTCTCGCACTAAGAATAAAAAAAATTCACTGATCAATTCTGATACAAATGCCACAGAAAAGTAAAAGTAGTTGCTACTCATCTGACAGATTAAAAATGCACAAAATGAGGTGAAATTCCATTTTAAAAATATAATTTCCAACAAAATTTATAATTTAAATCACCTAGCAAGATGAATCCTATAAAGTAAAATCTAAAAACTTAGTTTTACTTTTCGACCTAACAGATTTTCTTTGTTAGGTACAAACAAAAGGCTCCCCATGTACAAAAGAAAAGGACAAAGCAAACTAGGCCAGGTGAAAATTTAACTAATAAAAATGTTTACCTGTTGAATATCTGAACCACTACGTAGTATTTTCTAATTCTATATTTATATACAACTTACTTTAATTACCAGGATCCGACAGCTCGAAGAATCAGTTTCTGGCCAGGCACTAATTTCTAGATACATCAGTATTCTGGAAGCATCCTAAAGCACTTATTGGTGATCTACTAGAATACCTTACTAAAAAAATAAATGGGCCATTACACAACTGGAAAGTATCTATCTTAAATTTATATTTTAATGAGTGTGCTAAACTAACCAAATGTATCTACAGCACACAAAATCACTTTGCTCTAACAAAGACTAGACGAAGAATAAAAGCTCCAATGAGGGTCTTGGACCCCACTTTTTGTTTGTTTCCCACACTGTCTCCTTTAATGTGGGGTGACATCATAGGCACACATTCCTTATGACTCAGGAGAAAGAGACATGCGAAAGCTTTGCTTTTACTGTCTCCACACATTGTCTCTACATGTGGAAGAAACAGAGAAATACAGCAATCCTAACCAGAAGTGATCTGCTTAAGTCAGGCTATGTACATACTCTATGAAAATGCAGGTTAAAACCCCCCATTTTTTATCGTGCTGCATACTTGAAATATTATGGAGCCCTCACTTTTTATATTCCTGCTGTCATAATCATCTGAAAAACTTGGTCATGTATGGCTTAGTTCGAATAAAAAGGATTTAACATTACATTAAGGAAAATAAGCACGCAAGCAGGAGTGCTAAAACTCTACAGTTCTGATTCTCATCATACATCAAGGACACAGGCAATTTATACCAGTCTCTAACCTTCTAGGAAACCCCACAGGGCATGTTTGTTCCATGTATCCAGGCACACCACTACATTAGGAAGAGAAAATTTTGAATAGCTCAGAAGTTGTGAGTAGAATAAATGTGGATGTGAGATAGGCTTGTTTGGTTGAGGGTGGTGTAAAATGGGGCCAGAATCAGATTTAATCCCCATAAATTAACAACTTTTTTTTTTAATTTGTTAAATGAAAACTTAACTGTGGCCTAAATCCTATCACTCATCTTTAAAACCGTTGTTCTGGGGCACCTGGGTGGCTCAGTGGGTTAAAGCCTCTGCCTTCGGCTCAGGTCATGATCCCAGGGTCCTGGGATCGAGCCCCGCATCGGGCTCTCTGGTCATTGGGGAGCCTGCTTCCTCCTCTCTCTCTCTGCCTGCCTCTCTGCTTACTTGTGATCTGTCTGTCAAATAAATAAATAAAAATTTTAAAAAAAATAAATAAATAAAACCATTGTTCTTTGGAGTCAGGGGTTAAAGGACAAGGCAGTATGGAGAATTAGACAATATCTAAATCATGTGGTCACAAGTGATAAGTTGATAAAAGTTGGTAAAAGAGGTGGCAAAAAGTGTACACAGAGTCTCCGTGTTCTGCTAGCTAAATCCATAACAACGAAAGGAAAATATATCATCAGATATCATAATAAGAAATGAATACATGAAAGGGTGAAACATTTAAACCAATGTACGAGCTCTTTTAGAGACTTTCTATGATACACAAAACAAAAACAATCTTTTTCTCAGAGGGGGAAAAACACTGTCTTACCATCCGTTTGAGATTTGCTCAGGAAAATTGTGCTTGCCCTTGGATGGTCGGAAGGGTTTGATTCCAAAGCTAACTCTGTATAAGAAGAGAAAAAGGTGTGATAATTTGAATAGAAAAATACATGATTTTAAAAATAGCTACACATCAATTTTAATCACTTAGCAGTGTTGGGAAGAGTTTCTAGTAATGACAAAAAGCCAATTTCAATAAAGGCAACAATATAAAATTATACTGGGAAACAGCAAAATTGTAGAATCTCTTCACATATGTGGAATAAAACCAAGCTGTGTCTTAAACTTTTTTTTAACCTGCACCTAAATAATCTATGCAACTTTTGGATGGAATTTTATTCGTGCTTTCCCCCTCCTACTTAACTATTAAAAATCCCATCACCACCCTTTAAGCTGATATTACTGGCATATTCCAGAAACAGTCTCAAAAAGCAAGTTATATTGTGGATATTACTGTCAGATACCAGCTCAAAATACCAAATATGCCAAAACCAAACAAGTTGCTTTTGGCAAGCAAATATTCTTTAGACAATCAAATAGCTAATTCTAACTCCATTCAACAAATGAACGCATTTAGTTAGCTGTGGTTTATATGGGGGACTATCCATCATGGCAGATTTTTAAAAAACTGTATGAAAGTTCAATGTTCTATTCTACAGGTACACTTCCATAATAGCAAGTAATTTTTAACTTTTGCTCTCAATTTCCAAAGCAAAACTCCCCCTTCCTCCATCCATGCTGCATGATTAATTTGGGGCTTCAATAAGAGTACTTTTTGGACCAGATCATGGGGCCACTTGTAAAAAATTTTGTCTATACCTATGTAAAGGTATGTCTGTCTGCCTGTAGTCCACCAAGGTATACCAAGGTGGGAAATTCTCTATTTACACAAGAATACAAAGCAGGTACTTGAATTTTCATAAAAGAGGGTTTGCCACTATATGGGATAATAAAATTGTCATTTAAAAAAAAAGTAGAGGGGCGCCTGGGTGGCTTAGTGGGTTAAAGCCTCTGCCTTCGGCTCAGGTCGTGATCTCAGGTCCTGGGATTGAGCCCCGTATCGGACTCGCAGCTCAGCGGGGAGCCTGCTTCCTCCTCTCTCTTTGCCTGCCTCTCTGCCTGCTTGTGATCTCTCTCTGTGTCAAATAAATAAATAAAATATTTAAGGGACGCCTGGGTGGCTCAGTGGGTTAGGCTGCTGCCTTCGGCTCAGGTCATGATCTCGGGATCCTGGGATCGAGTCCCGCATTGGGCTCTCTGCTCGGTGGGGAGCCTGCTTCCCTCTCTCTCTCTCTCTCTGCCTGTCTCTGTCTACTGTGATCTCTGTCAAATAAATAAAATCTTAAAAAAAAAAAAAAAAAGTAAAACACCTGTGGTGTGTCTAAGATTCCAAACAAAATGGTCTCTGCTTTTCCTCAAGATGTTTAGTGACAGTCTGATAAGCAAAGCAGTCTGAGGAAGAAATAGGAAATGCAGAAATATGATTTTGTCTGGCTGCATATAACATTTGTTCTTTTTAAGCTCTGTTAGCTCTGAAATATATTTTGGGGCTACTTCACTGTTTTTGACAAGACAGCCTGATACTTCTATCAAACAAAGGACTTTCATATTGCAACAACCTTTGTTAAGAACCACTCAAAATTCTTAAAAAAAAAAAAAAAAAAAAAAAACCACCATATGACACCCCTCAGCAAGGTCCATCCCAAAGTACTTAGCCAATCGTGTAAGAAACCAGACCAAGATCCTGAGAGAGTAATGGTTAAGTCTAGTATTCCCCAAACCTAATAATTGTTCTGTTTCTTAAAGGCATGTTGGCAGTCTAATAGAAAATACTATCCCTGGCTTCCCTGGCTCTTAAGAGAATCAAAATGTCCATTAAAACCTAATCGGTCTTGGGACGCCTGGATGGCTCAGGTCATGATCTCAGGGTCCTGGGATCGAGTCCCACATTGGGCTTCCTGCTCAGCGGGGAGCCTGCTTCCTCCTCTCTCTCTGCCTACTTGTGATCTCTCGCTCTCTGTCAAATAAATAAATAAAATCTTAAAAAAAAAAAACAAACAAAACTAGTCAGTCTTGTCCCACATCAGGCTCCTCGCTCAGCGGGGAGCTTGCTTCTCTCTCTGCCTCTGCCTGACAGTGCTCTCTCTCTCTGACAAATAAATAAAATCTAAAAAAATATAATCAGCCATATAGTGAATTATGTCTAATTCAGCATTTCACAAACTTATCTACCTAGAATCATTTTTTCCTTCAATAGAATCTTTCACAATCATTTCGGACTTCTTGGTTTAACAGGAATCTGAACCATCCATTTTAATGGTACTGCCAGCACTAGAAATTTACATAGCTAAACATAGCTTTGTTCTTCATGGAAATTCCTTCACTGAATTTGAAGTCTGTTTGATGGCTTTTGGAGAAACTATTCTATTCAACATTTTTATGTAAAAGAACCATACATAAAAATTAAACTTTTTTTTCACATATTTGAAAAATAAGACAATGTTAGCTATTTGGAAAATCAATGAATTCAGCTGTGCTCAAAGTGACAAAGACTTTCATGGCTGCCTCTAACCTAAGGCTTTCGAAAGCGTTCATGACCAACTTCGTACCAAAAAGAAAGCGAATATACTACATGTGAATCTAAAAAATAAGCAGAAATGTTTGCAGAAGTAAACATACTACGTATCAGTGCCTATGGCACAAAAGAAGTTTAATTAACACTTTTCAATGGGAATTCTGGGGATCTCTCTCTCTCTCTCTCTCTCTCTCTCTCTCTCTCACACACACACACATACACTTCCCCAAACCAAGATATGCTACTGAGGATCTAAATATTAAAAATCAAGAGGCCTTGGATAAAAGAAATATCAATATGCAGAAAAAGTGCAAAATGAGCCCAAGTGACAAAAAGGAAATTGGCACTGCCCCTACTCCATTTAGGCTGGGCCAGCTACTGCTGCCCTGGGACTTCCCAAGAACCACTGAGAGAGGCAGAGGGGGTGCCTGGGTGGCTCAGTTGGTTAGGCATTTGACTCCTAATTTCAGCTCAGGTCTTGATCTCAGGGTCATGAGACTGAGCTCTGCTTCAGGCTCCCCATTCAGCACAGTGTCTGCTTGAGATTCTCTCTCCTCTCCCTTTGTCCCTCTCCCCACTCATCCTGTTTCTATATATAAATAAATACTTTTTTAAAGAAAGAGAGAGAGAGAAAAAAAAAAAAAAAAGACAGGCAGAGCTGTAGATTCTTGGCCACTGTCTGGAGCTGCCCCAGGCTTCCTTTGCCATCACGGGTGTCGGGGGGTTAAGCATGATGGAAGCCTTTCTAGGATGTATCAACAGAGGAGAGCAGAACTGAGACAGGCCATTTAATTCCTGGGTCAAGTAGTAACCAATTTATTCCATGAACTCTGGTTATAGAAGTCAATTTTTTTTTTTTTTTTAATTTTTAGATTTTAACTTGTAAATGAAAGAGACCAGGTTAATCAGCAGTACTGATGATCACATTACAGGTGCAAACAGATAAAAGTCATTTGCTCCTTCCTTTAACAAATATCCTATCATGAACAAAAATTTGCAAGAGCCAAAATAATACTTTGTTTAAAAATTACTCATCAACTCACAATCATTACTTTGTTACTTACACTTAAAAAAATAGCTCCAATCAGTGTACCATTTATGTCCTACTTTTTTCCTGACAAGCAATCTCAACCCCATTCGAATATATTTACTATTTAATGGATACACAATGGACTATCAGGTGTTATTCCCATACCTTAGTCAATCTCCTATTCTTAGGGTTCAGGTTGCTTACAAACTTCTATTTTTTTTGTTTTTAAGATTTTATTTATTTATTTGACAGAGAGATCACAAGCAGACAGAGAGGCAGACAGAGAGAGAGGAGGAAGCAGGCTCCCTGCTGAGCAGAGAGCCAGATGTGGGGCTCGATCCCAGGACTCTGAGATCATGACCCGAGCTGAAGGCAGCGGCTTAACCCACTGAGCCACCCAGGTGCCCCACGAACTTCTATTCTTATGAGGAAAATCTTCATATACATAGTTTTTTAAAAGTAATTTTGTCTTTATCTCCTTAGGAGAGATCTCCAAAATGGGATGACTAGACCGTAAGGTTAAATAGTTGTCATGACTCAATGTATAATACTAAATTGCTTTCTTATTAAAAAGGTGGGAGCATACTAGTGGGTAATGCTATCAACTTCACCAGTTTTCACTCCCACCCTGACTTCTGATACCCGAAAGAAAAAATTCCTACTGATATAAATGAAGAAGTTCACTGTCTCTAATTTGCACTTCTGATTACACAGTTTAACTATTTTCCCCATAGTTAACAGTATTATTTCCACTTTGGTGAGATGCCTATCACATGTATGTATTATATGTATTATACTTATAAGGACCCTAAAATGTTGTCAGTTTGTATGAGGTTTTCAGAAAATAATAATCTTCCGTCTCTAGCCTATGACAATTTTCTTGCACTTTTTGCTAATGACAAAAACTACATTGCTATTTTATAAAATGGATACTTAAGCCATTAGATATTAAACTCAGATGCGCACACACACAGTATTTCCGCACTGACCATTACTGTTTTCTCAAGAACCTAAGACAACTATGATAGACAGTACTACCCTATTTGCTCTATGAAAAAGGAAGACTGCCAACCATTAAGCAAAGCGTTACCACCTCCCACCAACATGCACATATGCATGTGTGCACACACAGTGATTTAGAGAGATGGCATAAAATTACTGTATATCTTGTATGTGATTCTATCCCAAAATTACTTTTTTGAAAACCTCTAAGAATGTTTTAACCTAAGAGAAATACTCCTGAGTTCATGATTAGAAGCTATGATTCAAATTGTATTTTAAGACCCATCACTTTTTTTTAAATCAATTTAAATTGCAACTTAACTTGACAGCATGACAGGTTAATATAGGAAAGTAGGACTTCAAAAACAATTTTTTTAACTTGGATCTTAATGTAAATACAGAGGAAATCTATAAAACTATTGACATCCAATATTGCTTTCCCCCAATCTAAGATTCT